AATGGTCAGGAAGTCAAACCAACTCTACAGGACCACACTTTCCCCACCCTGATGTAGATCATAAATTAAATGTGCACCATGTTTTAAAAAAGTCAACTACATAAGTCATGAATGAGTCTGCCCTACATTATAATACCTGAATAAATTCACAGCTGAAAAAAGTGGAAAAATTGTTTAACTATCCCAGCCTACATTGGTATACCTTTCTGTGATGTAGGCATATCTTCCTATGGGAAAGAAAATAACCATGAGTGGTTGAGTATTTATAATCTAACAAAACTTTGCTGTTCTTCTAGTATCATTAAGAAATTTTGAGATAATATGAAGTCTCAGAATAGGGTCAAGTCTCCAGTCAACAAGAACCAATAAAGCAGTTTCTAAACTACCTAAGTCATGCAGGAGTTTTCTAAAGATTTGTATTCCCATTTTATTGAATCATTTGAAGCTGTGTGATGTTAAAGTAATACTGCTCATCACTATGTTAGCATGAAAATGTTAGATGGAACAAATTCAACAGGATAACAAATGATGTTGTAATTGGCCTGAATTCTGACTTGATTGTGTTTAGTTATGACAAATTTAAGTTCCACTGTTTTTAAGGAATCTGCTTTAAGCATGACCAAGTAGAGATCCAAACAGTTGTGTTTTCAAGCACAGGAAATGATCCTAGGCTAAACACTGGAAGAAAGGATCATGAACTTGATGCCTATTTTTCCAGGAAAATGTTATGATTCATGTTGTTGACAAATGCCAAACTGTGGAGCAATTTTATTGCTCCAGATCTGTATATTCTTTCTCAGTGTGGTGCTATTTGCTAGCTGTACAGATGTATGGAGGGTTGCTGACTAAAGGATCTGCATTTCAACAGACACATCTTTACTCTTTGTGGGCTGAAAGATAAAACTGAGAAGCCCAGTCTAATGTTCATCAGGAACTGCAGGCTACTTGTTGCTATCTTGTACTTGATTGACAAATTCTGTTATCTAGACATCCTGCTGTTGTAGAAATACCAAGTGATACTACCCGTGTAGGCCAAGCAAATATTTCCTTAAGAAAACCAACGCATTGTTTTGGGAATAACTACTGAATTGGCCAAACTGAAAATATGTGGTGTGATTGGTTCTTTCCATGAAATTATACATCTGTCAGACATGAATATTTTCTCCTTTAACCTGAGAAATGGTATGTTCAGACTCAGCTTCCTTTCAAGGTTAATCACTTAAAACTAGTGCTGTTTTAATAATCAGTTTACAAATATACAGGCTGAATAAGGTGTATAGAAACAACAATCTTAGTGCTGATACTAAACATCAGTATATAGTATTTAGATTCAGGTGAAAATCCAAGCTGCTTCAGGCACTTGCTTATGACCATGTCTGTTAAAAACTGGTCCAAACCCTAATTTGGATAGGTGGCTGTGATCTCATTTCTTTGCTCAGAGTGCAGCCTAAAGAGCTATTACATCAAATACAAAATTATACTAAGCTGAGCAGGAGAATAACTATACATAGGTATAAGACTGTGAATATAAAAATATTTTATCCTTTGTTAAGACTACCAGTGGCTTCTGCCTGCCTGCCTTCCTTCCTTGTGAAGGATCTACTGCATTATTTAGAAAGGGAAACTCATTTGTATCTTGGAACTGTTGTGACCCACCTAGGGTGCTTCAGCTATTGGAGAGTAAATATGTTAAGTAACTAAAATATATTATGGCCAGCCCAAAACATCATTTTTCACATGCAACAAATGTGCAGTCATTGCTTATTTGTTGCATAGGGTTTAAGGCATCTTTTTGGTAATACTTCCTTCAAGGTGCATACATCCTTTATTAGTTTACCAAAAGGGGGTGGGGGTGGGGGAAAGCAAAATAAGAACTGTATGAGGTAGGTGTGTGTGTGTTTGTGTGTGAAGTTTGCCATGTAGCAGAAGTGAGTGGGCTGCTGTTCAAGAAAAACAAGTCTACAGCCTTCTTGGGCTCACAGAACTAGCTTAGTATTCTTTGGATCCTGGTCATTCTTTGGTTTTATGAGGCTGTAAAAGTCTTCCTTACTTTATTATCTCACAGAGCTTATAAAAATTCCCCACAAGAGGTAGGGCTGTCATTCAATTAAGGAAAACTTGGAAGATGGATTCTATGAGTTTGAGTTCTTTAACAGATTAATCACTTAATCCTGCAAACATTTGTCTTTGCATAAACCAATACTTCTGAAGGAGTTGGTGTTTTAAATTACACACATCCAGTCCCAGCAGGCGTCCCCTTCTGCATGAAAGAAAAGGCATTCTCCCTCTTCTGCTGCCCCATGTTTTATATACCCTTCTTTTAAAACTTTTTTTAAAGTTACATGATTCATAGAGTGCATCTTTTTAGATAATCTTTTTTTTTTTAACCTTGACGAATCCATATTTTCTCTTTCCCTCACATGGGCAGTTTCAATTTATAGGGACATGCTACCAACTTTAGTATCCCGACCCACTATGTTATGATGGGGTCTTCTTTTTGGCAGACTTCTGCTTGCTTAAGTCTTTAGGAAGGGCAATACCAGATGCCCGAGTCAGAGTTTCTCACTCTGCTTCTCTATTCTGCTAAGTGCTGAATCTCATACAATAGGTATCACACACATGCACACACATCCATGCACAGATGCACTTTCCTTACCTTCTAGTCATTGAGGTGGCAAAATGGGGTGGGGGACTGTTTGTGGGCTGTACACTCCTGCATTTTCGGTTGAACCACTACCTTTGATGAGTTTAATTTTCAACAAGTTTGGTTGGAAGTGGGGAAAGAGAAGGGCTGCCTTAAAGTATGTGGAGGATAGTATGTCATTTACAGGGAGTTTTGGCACCTGGTGCCAGGTACTTAAAATGTCCATGACTGACACTGTTGATAGGTGTGATAGAATTACACATTCTGGAATGATTTGTACCAGGTAGGGTGTGGGGAGAAGCAATGGAAAAAGAAGAAAAGTGGCTTAATTTTAGTTTTTCTTCACCAAAGATGTATGTGGTTCATTGGTGAAGAGGTCAGTGGTTCATTCGGTGGTGACAATTTTTTAAAGGTTGTGCTCTCGGGGGACTGTAATGCCTGTCATCCGGTGGCCGGACATGGGAGCAGACTCAGCTCAATTAGCGGACAGCATGCCCATCCGGTTGGCTAGGTTCACTGTCTTGCCCGTCCCACACATTACCGCAGTTGAGACTCAAAAACAGAAAAACTCCTCTGGGCACCAAAAGTGCCAGCAGCCAACTTGTTTCAGTTATTTAAATTTAATTACACATGGGTGGGTTGGGGTGTTCTTTAGACTTTTCTTTTTCCCTCTTTATGGCTTGGTGTGAACACAAGTTGCTGGCAATGGCTACAACTACAGCCTTTGCCATGGAAGAATATGAAAACTCCTTTAGGACACCATTGGCTTGTGACTGTGGTTGGCCTCCAATTTCACCAGAAGGCATGATAGTGGTATGACTGGGAAAATGGCTGAAAGGACTACAGTCGTCTTTGTGTGCTTGCCCTTGGGACATCTTACCGTAAGCACTTATTGATCCAGGCCTTTACCTTGCTCCATTCATTTCTGTTCCCAGCTGCCCTTCAGGTTAAACAACGTAGCCCTCTGAGTTTTGACATTCCTCACTTACCCTGACTGTGTCTGACTGTGCTTTCTTTCAACATGCCCTAAATCAGAGGTTGAACAGCTGAGTTATTTAAAAAGAAATGGAAAGGACTGAGCTTAAGAAAAGTCAACTGAGGAGTATTGCCTTTTTCTCCAAGGCCTATAGCTGTGATTTTCAAACTGCCTTTTGTGGTTCCTAGGAAGTTTATCAAGACCAGGACTCCTTTAATAATTGCAAATAAGCTTCCCTGAAACACACCTGGCTCACCACTAGCCCTTCCCAACTTGGGTCCCTTTCCTTGGGGATTATTGGAGTTGTTGTTGGACTTCAACTCCAGTCACCCCCAGCCAGCATGGTCAGTGCCAGAGATAATAAGAGTTGTATTTGGGTTGCTCAAAGGTGGGCACATCATATCTGTGGAAGCACAGTAAGGCTTGGCAAACCTGAACGAAATAGGCATGCATACTGAAACATTTCCCAGAACCCTTTATAACATGGTAAGTGGCTAATGCACTATTAGGCACGCTATCGATAATGTAAAATATTATATTGGGACAGACAGCAGGAGTTTGTTGGCAAATAGGTTGATGTGGTAAGGATTCCTTGAAGCGAGAAAGTCTGAAATCACTGGTCTATAGTAAGGCTAGTAGTGTTTCCAATGTTTACTAATGGATTTTGCATGAGGTTAGAATGGTGGAGTGCGTTGGATAAACAACAACAAAAATACTTCATTAGCTTCCAAGAGGACTTATAAGGACTGCAGAGCATGGCAAAGATTGGAAAACAGCGTAATAGTAGCTAGACTGCAAAGATGCTGAAGATGTTTCTGAACCTACTTTTTAGTATCCTGTCTATTGGAATTCTTTAAACTTTAATTGCTCATGGAAAAACAAAGATTTAGCCATTGTGCCTAATTCAATGAAAACCATTCCATCCAAGCTAGCCAGGAAGTTGGTATTCGGAAAAGACAAAGAACAATGCTCCTCAATAAAAATCATGCTCTATAAATATATATTTTTGAATTACTGCTACTTGTGGTGGCACCCATGTCAAAGAGTGCTTTCCATGTAGAAAAAGCATAAAGTTTGAAGCAATGCTAAATGAGTTTCAAAAATGACCTTAAAACAACATTTCAGGAAACAAGTTATATAGTCTTCACTCCTTGTTTGTTTAACCACTGCCAGTGAAAAGTTCCAACTACAGTGGCAAGTTCTAGAAATGCGGGTGGCTTGTGAACAGTGTTAATACATGAAACAGCTATGGAATCCGCAAAAGTGAAATAACCACTAATCTAAAGCTAAACTTCTGCTTTTCTTGGATGTTGGTCTAGCAGTGGTATGTTCCATAGATATGAAAAGAAGACATTTGCCAAAGAGAATCGACAAACTTACTCTGAGGTGTGCTTCTTTGCGAATCACCCTTATTGTGGAAGTTCCTGCTGAATGTCCATTGTATCACCACTGTTGCAGTATTTCATTCCACTCAAGAAGATATTGTAGTTTGAATTATTTGAAAGACTGAAGACTGCTTTTATAATACTACAAAGTCATGCTAAAAAAGAAAAAGAAACAACAAAACTATTTGTCTTCTGACTGTTGTTTTCCTCATATTTCCCACTAAGGTCATTTCACAGTTCAATTTTGCTAATTTTATTCCATGGAGATAAAATGAAAGATGGCTTATATTTCCCCTGACCTGTTTCAGTGTGTTTTCTGTTTCTCTTACTAGCACTTTGGATATTGCTCAAAGGCCATCAAGAAAGAATTTATGTCTATCACCCTAAGCACCCTAAGAAAGAAACATATACAAGTTGTTCATTGTCTACGTGCCAAAGGAAAATAATATGGAATTAGCAGTCCCACCACCCCCACCTTACCCAAAATCTCCTCACTCACTAGTGCCAAATACACAGTAATTTAATGCACTGAGCTATCAAATTCCAAGCAAAGGAAACTGAAATGTCATACCTTCATTCACAGCACCATCTCATGGAATTATCTTTTCCGGATTCTTGGGAAGTTGAAGTATTTCAGAAGAATATCAGGAACTGTTGCTTTAGCTTGTTTGGTGAGTAGATAATTGCCTTCCAACTCTTCCATTTTTTCAGGAAATGATGTGAGTGTTGTATTGTTCCTAGATGGGGGCAACAGTGTTTTTTAACAAGGCGCATATATGCATTTTTAAAAGAAACAAACAACAAGAACATGCAGTCTAAGTCCCCAAAGCTGAATCAGACTCTCTGTAGATAAGACTTTGGCCCAGACAAATTGTCCATGCAATTGAAAGTGTTCTTTAGACGGGATGTAAGCAACATTCTGTTTTCAAGGGAAAAAAGTACCCAAAAACAAAACCCATGAAATCAGACTAAAAAGGTCATTTATATAATATTATATCAACTGCAATCAGAAGTGCCTCTGGGACAAATTACACGTTTTCTATGTGATCCTAACAAACAAGGCATGGCAAATTATAAGAATGACAACTATTATGAAATTGCTTTTATCTTAAAATTGGTCCTTCAAAGGAAACTTCATTTAGCTTTTAGGGTCATTACAGTTCAAATATTGTGCAGTTTGTGCTGCATAGGTTGTTTAGCACACCAACCATTCATGCTGAATTAACATACTAACTTTGTCCACTCTACTACTCTTGTGGCAAGGAAGCCACTGCATCAGAGCTAGCACCTGTGCTCCTCAGGTCATCTGAGCTGCTCCAAGGCATGTGGAAGGAGTCCATTCCCCTCCATGCTAGTGTTGCTCCATGTTCTGGAGCAGTATGTCATCATGTGCAGCATAGGTATGTATCTGGTTTCTGACATTCTTCCCAACAATTTTAAGGGTAAGGATTGCAGGAAATATACGTACATGCATAAGTACACTGTTACACTTTGCATATCATAGTGTATCATTGATCCACTGCATTGATCCATATTACTGATCCACTACTCACAGTTTTTTCCATATTAAAAATTGGGTGAACTGGTCCTATGACGGGAGAGGAAGTGAGAAAGGAGCATGAATACAGAGTCCTTTTCAATGAGAAGTAGTTTCAAGGTTGTGAATGTTCTAGGAGCAGGTCCAATGAATGAATGAAAGCAATTCTCAAAGAAAAGCAGTATTCTTCTCTATGGACACTACAGGCATTCAAAAGACCTTCCAGAGAAAGCTATGTGAATCTACTCAGGAGTAAGCCCCACTGAGTTCAATATACTTACATAACAGCAAGCATGGGATGGGGAACATGGCATCTTCCAGATGTAGTTGTACTGCAACTTTCATCTGTTGCAGTACAATAGTGAGGAATGGTGTGAACTGAAGTTCACAACATCTCCAGGGCCACAAGTTTCCCATCCCTATTGTATACTACGGCAACCAAAGGGCAGGTCAGCTTTTGTCATTGATAACAATGAAACTACAGTAAGTATTATTACATCTGCAACCAGCCCTAGGATAAAATCCTATGCATATCTGGACCGAATGCTGGAAATTGTAGGACTTTTTTTTAGGCCTAGACATGCATAGGTTTGTGCCCTGAATACCTTATAGTATTTCTCTGACACTGAAGTAATGATGTCAACATGGCCTTATACCAAACTTTTATTTTCATGTCAATGCAGAAGTATATAATTTTGAAGTTTTTGCTCCCCTGCACCTGGCTCCTACATATTTTTACCCTGAATTAAATTCCATTAGTTTCAGTAGGGCCAAGTAACTTCCAAGCAAGTATGCACAGGATTATAGCCTCATTCCCCAGTAATAAATAAATAAGTAAAATATTAAGTAATTTATTTAAGAACCACAAAATTCAATGACAATGTTTTTGGGCAGAACCCCGGTTGAAAAACTGATACAAAAAGATAGGGGAAATTATTTTACAGGATGGTGGGAAAGAAAAGTGTTTATTCAGCACATTCAGTAACAAACACATTTCTATCACCAGGTCACAGAATGGGAGTTCATTCATTAAATGAAAACTGGAAACCAGTTTCTAGGAAATTTCATTCTCAGGATACCCTCTCTAGGTGATGTGGTTAAGTGCATTCAAGTATTTAAAATATTAGTGTGTCATGTTGGTACCAGGGTTTAAAGCAATCTTACTCTTGCTATTTATGTGGGAGAGAACTGCTAGTGTCCAGTGTCAAACTACTAAGACATAATACCTGCTCTTCTGTTTTCAACTGATCCCACATGAGCCTCTATGTAGGCATTTTTGTAGCAATTAAGGTACTCCTTAAGAAATATTGTCAATTCTGATTATGAGCTAAATGAACCAAGGAGTTAGTTGTCTCCACTGGCCCGACATTGCCATGTGAAATTAGAAAAGTGGACTGCGGCAGAAAGGGAGCACTACATTCCTCTAAGTGGAGGCAGGCCTCCCTGGGAAGGCTTGGACAGAAGCATGGCATATACCAGCTTAAGTCCACTCTGTGATGTTCTGTGAGGTGGTCTATGGATGATCTACATAATGAGATGGGGAAATGGGTTGGCAGGGCCCATGGGCTATACCACTTCAGATTGCTGAAAGGGAAACGGTATGTTTGAATGCTGTATCAAAAATTAGCACATGGCAGAAGAAGGCTTAAGATAGCCCTTCTCTCCTATAGAGTGTTCAGTTACACTATGAAAAATGTACCAAAAGACACACATTCGCATAAAATTTGCACATCCTTTATATATATGCGCACACTTAAAAGAATCACCGTAATTTAATTGTAAATACAATGCATCTCACCTTAAGAGGGGAAGACCAGGTTGCTGCTCAGTCTGCTGCCCAGGTGCTAACTGTAGATGGGCAACTTCAAGTCCCCTCTCAGCATTCCCTTCCCTTTAAGCCAAGCTTGAACAGGACAGCTCTTCAAAGAGATGGCTGCCTTTCATTATGTAGGGCACCAGGCCATTCTTCCCCATGCATAGGATAGCTTTCTAATTGGGGATGCACTAAAAATATTACTACCACCATTGCAGCTAAAATCAAAAAAGATGCAGCCCAGAAGTCTTAAATCCTCAGGGCATCACCTCATCCTACAGAACAGTTCTCTTCATTGGCCACACAATGATGCAGCTGGGATGGCTCCAGGACTACCTATTTTTTCTTTTTCACAATTTGGTTCCTTGGGGCCACTCCATCTGCACCTATAGTGAACGCTGGGGACTTTTCTCCATTCAATTTAACTGAAAGCAGAAATGGTTCTTACCTGCATTGTCTCTCTCACACACACTAGTGCAGAGATAGCCTTAAAAGAAAGCTGAAATCAATGGAACTTACTTGCCCAAAATGTTTGAAGAGTGAGATGTTAGAGGAGATGGAAATGCAAATAAGTACAACTCACATTTAGAAAGTACCTCAAATGCCCATACTGACACCTGCTGGTGAAAAACAATTCATACAACAATTATGTCACTTAAGAGGCAGGACGATTTTTACTAGCTGACTGATCACAATCCATTGTTTTCCTCGTACCTTCCCCCCTCTTTTTGTATAAAATATCGAGCAAGCAATAATAGTACAAGAAAGAGGAGTTTTTCAAAGCTAGCCAGTGAAAGTGCCTATACAACTGTAGATTCTAAAGACAACATTCACAGATCTAATTTATCCTGGCCCATTTTGCCCAGGACAGCATTGTTCTCTCCAATGGAAAGCTTTTGTAACCAGAATGGGGACACTGAGAAACAACAGAAAGGTTTTTTCATGGGAGTCCAAGGTGTTTTCCTTTGCCAGGGGAAAAGTTCCCCTACCAACATTAAAGGGCAAGAGAAACTCATTAAAAATGGGTGGTCGGGAATGAATTATCCTTGAATCAGTCTGTGCTGGCTGGCCAAAAGCGCTCTTATGTTACAGGTCCCACTTGTCAGCCATCATGAGTTGTAACGATGTGCCAGTCAGTATGCCAAGTTATCTTCCACGTTGGTCATACACAACAAAGCGGCTTCTAGAAAGCAAGCACTGCACAAATGAAGTATGCTGCATATACACATTCACATAAGATCTAACATGGATGACAGCAGCAGCAACTTTCATGTAAAGTAGAATGAAGAATTTCCTGCAATCTCATTGAAGACTATCTAAATGTATCAGGTTGGACGGTGATCTTTTCAATTGGCTGAAAAGTCACTCAGTGTAACAAACAATGTTCTGAATATTTTATATCTTTTTTCATAGCCAAACAAACGCCTTTGTGTTTCCAGTTCTTCAGTATTTCAATGGCAAATAATTTATATAAGAATTATATAAGCAATTAGTAACATTAGTAACTAATTAGTAAACTAATTAGTAAACTAGTAATTAGTAAAAACCGTCATTACTGGTTTTTCGGCGCCAGGTAAAGACCTTTTTATTTAAACATCATTTTAATTGTTAAAACATATGATCTGGCCAGGGCAACTTCTTCTTCCTTCTCTTTTCTCCTCCTATATTATTTATTTACTTA